ATACAATCTTTTCACGAAGATATGAATTTATAAATGGATTTCCCGGACCCAAGTTTAAAGATTATTTTTAACCTATTCAAAATTCAGAGTGAAGTTGCACTTAAGTAGTTCTAACGTTTTCTTCAAAATCGTAACCATAACCAAATTTGCTTCGTCAATATCAACTTGTTTTGTTCATTCTGCATGGCTTCATCCGTCTCAGATGAATGTAGGAATATGGTAATTTTCATTTCTTGTCATGGAAATCGTTGTCACACTGTCATCTTTATGACAACATTACAGTGTATTTGACAGATAGTATTTGGATGCGTGTCCCGTCAATGATGCTAGGCTAAGATAGCCCTCTATTTCAGTGGGTTGGCAGCAGGTTGGATTCCAGCGTTATGTCACTTGTCACAAGAGACGACTTTGCGACTAAACACGACAAATTAGTTTTGTCAATATAAGAGACATTCTGTTCAGGTTCATGGAGACGAGCTGATGCGACGAAGATCCGCGGAACATTAAAATAGTGAATAATTGAAAGAAAACCATCTCCTTCAAGAGCCATCTTCTCAACAGGGATTGAGGACCCGTGTTGGTTTCGACGTAATAAATGTAATTATAATGTCCCGTGTCAATTAGTAAGACCATTGTGCGAAAAGTGGTGGCACCAGATTTCTATGACAGGCCAATAATGTAACAATATCAGATCGGTGAATATAATTGACTTTAATTCAAGCAACCATGAGCAAACAGTGCAATGTGACATTTGAACACTTTTACAAATACCAATGATTAGCTAACGGCCTCAACACAACGAAGGAGCACATTGCGTATGGTGTAACTGTATTAGCCACAAAACATATTAATAGAGGTACTATTTAGCTGATCCCCGGCCGCGTCATACCAAAAGACGTTAAAATATGGTACTTGTTGGTCCCTGCCTGGCGCTCGGCATTAATGGGCACAACAAGGACTGGTCGGCTCGGAGTCAGTATAATGTGTCTGAGTGGGGTACTCATGCTTCACTGCGGCATGGTATCTCAGTGGGCTAGCACTATAAAACCAGCTTAAGTCTGGGCTAGTACAAGCAGCCGCACATACACATACACACGCATGCACGTCGTCATATGAGCGAAATATTCTCAAGCACGCCGTTAAACCCAATTCCACCACCATTATTTAGCTGCAGATTAATAACAGGAGAGGAATTTCCCTTCTGAATTTCGAGGCTACACCGATTGCACGCGTCACAAACACATGCAAAGGAAGATCAGTTAGTCACCACTGGAACGTGTGGTACACGTCACAATAGGGAATGACATCAGACATATTTTTTGTCTCTGGAGCGTCACATTTGGAAAAGTTCTTCACAATTATATCATAATTTCTTTTAACTATTTGCAGAAGCGTCGAATTTTGAAACCCTTGAAACCATTTTTTGAGCAGGCGTCGAATGACGATCTATAGAATCTCCGTAGAAAGAACGTGATCGATTGTACTTGATCGGCATGAATATTGCTCGACATTTAAAGTGAAAGTTGCCTTTTGGAAAGTTCAAGTCATCATTCTTGTCAAACAGTTTGCGGGGGCATATTATTTCATAGTTCTAAATATAAAAACAGATTATGCGGATTTGGTGTAAATAAGTGGCAGTGTTCTGGCTCTTTGGCCTTCATTGAGCGACATCAGATCATCGATATAAAGTGAAAGTTTATACTTCTTGGCAAATTGTTTTTATGATCCAGTCCGACAAGAAATTCCTATGTCTAAAGAAAAAAAACCTGGAGTACAACAGGCGCTCCTGATGCCTCATATTTACAGGTTGCCTTCCTGGATGACATTTGGTTTCATGTTTGTCAAATTATACTGAACCTTTGAATATACAACTAGTTTTATTGACAATAAATAATTTCTTTGCTTGCTTATATCCCTGCAGTAGATCAAGTGCCATGCTGATAGTATTAACTAATACATCAAAATACTGTATAACTAGTTACAGTATTTCGATGTATAGGTTAGTACGTACTTTAACTAATAAATTCATCTGCTGATGACTACATGTTCAGGGTTGATATATGCTCTGTTAGTAGCAAGCCTTCCTGAAAAAAATGTTGTTTTTGAACAATCTTTCAAACCAATCATTAAAGTAATTATCATAAAGTGCTCTGTATCCTTTTAGCAAATATTTCAATTTATGAACTAATAACCAGGACCTTGATCTTGAGTTCTGTTAATATCACGATCAGCGGTAAAATTTGGGTTTTTGTAAACCTTCTTTCACACTATCCATGAAGACAAATCAACAACTGAAATTCTTCAAAGGCATTTAGAAGTTGGTGTAGTACTCTTATGGATAACAACTTGTTTATGTGTTTCTCAGGACGTTTCTGGGCTAGTTCTTGCCCCTTCTTCAGGTGGATCTCACGACGTTTCTGGGTTAGTTCTTGCCCCATCTTCACACAACATCCACTTGAAGAAGGGGCAAGAACTAGCCCAGAAATAGAGAAATTAATAACTGTTATTAAGCGTTCCGTAATATTTTGATTTTCATTATCTTTCTCGAATCACATAACTGACAAAACGATGTACACAAATCCTGACCAAATGTTACGAGTGTCACAAGAAGACTGACGTCAGTTAAATATAACAAAAGTAATGTATCTGTCTAGTCCTTCTTTGATTCACACGTATACCAGTTCCAATCAGTCATCACTATCTCTTTAAGACATGATGCCAAGACTCAAAGAATGGTAAGAAATTAATATACGCTGAATTGAAACACTGATCCACAACTTAAGGAAAAGATAACCGCTCTTTTGATAAATGATGGTTCTTTCAAGAGATGTAGAATTACCTGTATTTATAAATACTACTTCTAAGATTTCTGGTTACTTGCAGTAATGACATAGTGATATCTCGATGTCATTTTTGTCTGTGGTGATTTGGTAACCTGGGAATGTGCTGGTTAAATACATGTAATGGCGTTTTAGGCTGACTAAGATGAACTGAATATGACATAGAAATAAATGTCTATTCTCTGACTTCAGATGCCTTGTCACAGCTACCAATTAGTTTGCAAATACATGTAGCTAGAAGCGTGAATGTCAGATGATTCAGTTCAGCACATAGTTGGGCAGTATTCAGTTCACAGCGATACGCCAAATACCACGATTTCGATATTAGATGAGTCTGAAACAAGTCAAAGAACTAGAAGCACTTATAAACGTTGGAATAAAAGAGACGAATTGAGAAAGTGCTCGAAATATTAAGGTCAATATTTCAAGCTATTTTTCCTTTAGAACCGCACCAAGCCACAGATCCTCGGCCACAGAAGTCGATTTGTGATCCATTGTAATGTCTCAACTCTTCTCATCTGAATTCCGATTCCTAACAAAGGTAACCTTTGAGCGAGTTAAACCTATTACGACCGGTCACGTGGGAACAGACGGGCGATGAGGCACTCTTGTCATTTCGTGTGTGCCTTGACAAACTTGTTGAACAATATTCGATTCTCCATGAAACAATGCCCTCCCCGTCAGCCAATGCAAGTATTCTCTGCCATTCTCAAGCACTAACACTGCACTAACGTCAGTCAAATAAATGATCGATTGTCTCTCAACATCACGTCAAACCTAGATGTACAGTTGGAGATTTCTAGATTCCAGAACTGAACAGTCGTAAATAGTCTAAATGTTCTCTTCCTGTTCTTGAAAAAGACTAATAACGTTATATATTGGTTGTTTAATCCAAGTCAGCCATTCGGACTTGAAGAGCGTCTTCAGTATGATGAGGAAAATAGTTATCATTCACTGGACTTATGTTTAATACCTTGGGTATAACGCCGCAATTATGTTAGCATTGTTCTGTGTTTAATTGAGCACTATATACGGACAGATTTTTCTTTTTAAAATAATGGTTGGGGGGAATCATAAAAGATCAAAAGACGAAAGAAAAGAGTTTGCATTTACGTCACTGACATAAAACCTTTCAGAACGTGATATCGTAAATCATGTCTTTTCCTTGTAGCACCACAACGTTTTCTATCTCCATAGAATTCACTTGACATTTCCTCATGTTTAATATGCAAAGGAAGGAATTAAGTGATTGTTAATGGAATATAGGCTGCAGTGGATATAGATAGAGTCAGTATTCTACTGAATCCTTCAATCGATTCCGCACCTGGCTTCTTCAAAAGCATAGGCACCTATTGTTTAATATTTCACACGCTTGCAATCAAATTCTTTGTTAGTAGATGCACGATGTATTTCTTGTAACGATATACAGTATCAGGATTGAAACATTTTGTGTTGTTAAACATCATTAACCGGCCTATGATAAAAAGCCCTTTTCTAATGAATGTCATTATTTCTACATCATTGAAGATACTGCGGAAGAAGGAAGTTTTTTAGCATGAAGCAATTCATGTTCACTGAACCTGTGTCGAAAAAGTAATGAATATATTAATAACCATATTTGTTGGTATGTATCAATTTACAATTTTAGAATGTATGACTGCTATTCAGATAGTGATTTTCGTCGCGAAATGATATCGTCATTCCACTCAGCTTCACATGTACAAATACTATTGGAATGTGCCACACTATCAGCGCAATGATGTTGTTGTTTGTATGTTTCAGAAGTTGCATAACGTTGATTTGTACACCAATATGTGAAAACAGTAATATTTAGGCCATCAGTACTTGTTTATGTTAAACGATTGACAGGAGCTACAAAGTAACATTAACTTCGCAATCTATATTTCCTGCACATTGCACATTTATATTTAAATACTGTCCAAGCTGTCGCGTTCTATTCACCAGGCATTGACAAAGTAATATACACTATATGTGTGATGTTATCGTTGTTTGTCGGGGTAAAAATGTGTACTATCCATCTGCAAAGTTGATAAACATCAACACAAGCGTCAACACCACCGTCATCAGTAAGCGGTGATCTACACCATGTAACTGTAAAGAAACTTATTATTTTTTGCTATTATTACTGTATGTACTTACCATAAGTATAATTGAAGTTCTCCACCATTCCCGCCCTCATCCTAGCGGAGTAGAACCACTCTGAACTGTTGTCAAGGTAGTCGTACTCAACTGACAAGTCCTTGACGTTAACTTGCCCAATTTCGGTCCGATATGCATATGGGCAAAAAAGGTGGTAGTTCTTAAACTCGAAGTTATCGTAACAATTTCCTGCACCAAATATATCAGGATCTCCTTCAACCATGGATCTCACCTGTGTGTAGAACAGATATTCAGACCTAGTAACGGCATCTCCTGCCTTCATCCATATTCGTGTGAGAAAGTTTGCCCGGTTTACAGCAACCATGGCTTGTCCTTTGAACCGTTTAAGTCCGTACTGTCTTATGACTCCTTTGCCCAGGTTATAATGAGTTCCTGGGGTACAGTTTTCTTTTCCAGTTTGGTATTGCTCAACGACCTCTAGAAACTGTTCCACAACATCTAGTTCCGGCTGGGTGGTTGGTTCGGGCAGTGCTGCAGAGGACACTCCATCCACCCATCTGATGGTGGAGTTGTGGTCGTCCATGTCCGGTTGATGACTATACACAGTGTAGTTCACTATATTGCTACTCTGGGTGGCGAGAAATGAATTAAAGAATAGGATGTATCCAAAGAAAACACACAGGTTTAGGCTCCCGCGATACATCTCTCCAAACATAATAAACACACGACAGTATCCACTTAACCACTGCGGCAATCCCTCCGAATCATTCCATCTCTAAAACAATGTCGTTGGCTCGAAGCAAACGCACGAAAAATGGCATCAGAGCTTCACACAAGGAACAACAGATGGTTTAAGCAGGGCAGAAGCTGAATATGACACTGAGAAAGAACCGAGCCGTCAAAGAAAAGATTTAGTCCAGACCCCCACCGCACGCGCTTCCGAAATGCTTCCAAGCCATGATTGAGAAAGTTGTGTTAGACACAGCCTCTAGATCGATGATACAGCGAAGTCCAGGTGCAACTCTCAGCGTTCATTTGGCGGGACTCGCTTGTGGATCAGCTTGCGGTGACAGCACTAGGGGCGGGCTGAAGCGATGGTCTGGAATACAAAGGGGGAAAATGAGGTTTGTGTATACTGTGGATGACAGTCACGGACATGGCAGTGGTGGACTTCACTAACGACGATGTCGCAATAAGTTGATGACCGTCTTTGGGAGCATAAACCCCGCACTGACAATGAGGAATTGAACTGGAAGACATGCATTATTAACTGTCGACCTGCGGACTAAAGAAGTGCTTACTTTCTTACTACCTGTTTTTAATGACGCCCTCCTAATCCGTTAAGTGTAGGTCGCCCTGGTATAAGCTAATTAACGCACGTTTATAACGGTAACGGAAGAATGCTGGGGAGCGCCAGGGGGAATCTTAGTTTCGGGATTTTCATTGGGATAATATTGGTATAATTTGCTTTGGTCACACTATGGTTGGGGTTTACTGAAACGCATGAAGAGTCGTGCGTCATGGCTGTTAGTGCTTAAAGGGTGTATTCCCCGTGGATCTCTCTAGGAGGACAATGACAAGTGTATGTCTAACACTAGACATGTTTAGTCTGTTTAATGAGCGATAACAGCGGTCATGTTTTCTAAAAGCTATTCTCAAATAGGAAAGTGACAAAATACCAACTATATATTTTTTTGTGCATTGTTGCTTTAGGTTTACATAAAGTAGGCCGACCGACCATCAAATATGATTTTTCATAAGATGTCTACTTTAAGGACACGTTTATTTGTAACCATATAGGATTGCAAGTATTTCTGAGGCACTGTAGCTCACCTTGATACGGTATCAGTCCATTAGTTAAAATTTATTGTCACATTGGCAGTGTTGCTGTCATATCGTGGCTAGCGATGTGATATCAATAGTTTTGTTTGAACGCCATCCAATGTCCCAAGGTTGATGTCGCGTGATTGATATCATAAAATTGCATAAGTACCGATAAGAAATTGCACTATATATGAAATGTTTTATTGATTTTATAATCCAAACCTTCTCAAGGAGACGAGCAGTTACGCCGAGTTTCAGCAAAGTTTGTTTGCTTGTTGTTTGATGCCGCAGTCAGCAATCTTCCAGCTTTATAGCGGCTTTCAGCAAAATTGATTCACCATATTCAGAGAAAGGAATCTACATCTTGTGTTTACTGACGTTAAACACCTACCACAACTGTTGAAAAGAAAGAAAACGTATTTTAAAAATAATGAAATAAAAATGTTTATCACGATGCCTTTGATCTCCGTTGGTGATAACTGACGTTTTTATAGACGGTCTTGATAGTCAAATGTTTACTTCTTCGTGCACTGTAAATTTTGTAATGTTTAAAACTGAACGCTATAATTCTAACAGTACGTACTCTTAGCCTGTCATTTCAGAGGAGAAGATTGTAAATAACATAGTCAATGATCAAATGAAGTTATTATTAATCTATCAAATCAAAATGAAACGTGGTCAGTTAAACAACCAAATACAATTTTACCAAATTACAGTATAATATATGTATAAGTCTTTTTATAATGACTACAAAACTGTTTTTGTCGTGACGGTCATATTGGATCTCTTCAAATCAATCTTGAGCAAAACCAGATGTCATCAGTCGAAACAATATGTTAGGTTTTAGCTTCATCTGTCCAGTTGTTTCTGAGGAGATGACGTTTATGTTCCAGCAACTGTGGACTATAGCGTCTACACAGCTTTTGAGTTACAATCGAACTTTTGCCTTCTACGAAGATCTCAAAGAGTGCCGAATTGATCTTGAAGTTGTTTGATCAGGGTTACAGCATTCAAGTCGTTTTGTTAGACACAAGTTTCCATTAAACATGTACAGCTGACATGCCTTTGAATGTGCTTATTAGCAAATGATGCAGTACTCATCGACGCAAAAGAAATTGATACCACAAAAAATGTGTGCCAGAACGTAACTGGACAATGTCAAGATCAATCTCACTTAAACGTAGTCATAAATAAGGATACTTAAAAGATTACAAAAAGAAATTCCAGAACCATGTTCCCGTAAAGGTTTCATTATATTGGAAACATCACGGAATATTTGTTTTGGCATCCCCTCTGGGCATAATAATAATCGTAACACTCTTTATGAAAGCACGATGCCAAAGTGTCCAATCATCTCTCATTTCCTGTTAAACTAATAGCCAGCATATTTGGCACGAAATGTTTCAATTCACTTTCAAACTGGCATGATCAACAACCAACAATTCTTCATTTCATTAAGGACACTTTTATCGTTGTTAAACATTCTCTAAAAATGTAAATACTCCCAAATGGATGGTGAAAATCAGGACATAATCACGTTTACAGAACGTTTTAAACATTATAGTCCCATCTGCAGAAAGACGAGAACAATTATGGACATAAAACATGTCCTTGTATAACTGCATATCAACATGCTTTGAAATGTGACCGAAGTTTCATAATACTTACAGCATTAAAGGCTCCAGAAAGCTCAAGAACAAATGCGTTCATTTGCAATCTTCGCTACGTAGGTATATGTTGTTTGTAGTAAAATATATAATATTAGTTATTAAAGTTCGAAAGTTACCTGAAACCTGATTGTGCCTCAAGCATCTTTTCTAAAGGTTCCACCCAGAATAGAAATCGCTTGCTATTGATACACTTGGATGCAAATGGTTCATACTACAAGGTTTGAATATAACAGTAGTTATTTGTATCGTTCACTGATTATAGTTATGGAGAGTGAGGCCATTATCAGGCGTCTAGTCTCCAGTAAATATAATGTCTCCAACATAATATTAATATCCAACACTAGTCCCAATACTGTTTGACAGTAATTTCTAATCATATGCTTTTCCTACAATGGGAACTGTACGACAGATGTTAATTTTCGCATCCCTATTCTTCATGAATGGGTTTTGAACCTTTAATGTTCCATGGCTGCATGCATGAGTATAACGTCTGAATAAACGCTGCAGTGTTCATTACATACACATGTTGATACATACAATTATAAAATGCAGTTTTAGAAATGATGATCCACGTGAATATATACATGTTAATAAAGCACATTTAATCCCACATTCTCACGTACACATATATATTGCTTTAAACCATGATATCAAATATAATCCAATATCACTTTTAATTAAACACCTTTAACTAAGTAATATATCCTGAAATATGATGCAATGAAACTACCTTTTAATTAACCTCCTTTTTTACCCTTTCTGTCCTTACCAGCGGTAATTCAAAGTGTGAGCCATACGTAAACTGTTTGTAGTTGTTCCCACTGAAAGGGCCTTAAATGGGGCGCGGTTGACGAGCTGGCTAAGGCGCCAGGCTAGTGATCCAGCGAGGTTGAAGTGTCGGGATCGAGCCCACCTGTGACCGGGTGTAAAAACCTTGGAGTCAACTTTGTGTGCAGACTCCTTCAGTGTTGTCACAACCCCTAGTGTACAGTACACAACCCTGTGCACTTGAAAGAACCCACGAATACGTTGGTATTTGACCAGATGGTGGTCACATGAATACGTGCAAACACCTAGTTGCGAGTGCAGGAACGTGCAGTAAACATGGACAAAGTACTGTGACTATGTGTCCCAGTCCACCCAGCTGTGAATGGGTACCTCGTTAGGATGAGAAAGCCACAATAACTCGGCGCGCCTAGTGGCTGCAAGCGTTGTATACTCCCCAGGGAGTTGAGATTGATAATGCGATGTGCCGTTGAGATTGACATCCAATGATCGAGGGAAAAAATACCAGGGCCTTGAGCATGCACTAGTGCGTGGATATGTGCGCTATATAAATATCCTATAAAAAATAAAAAATAAAAAGATACCACAACTGTACCGTGTTACGTCACTACAGTAATTGTTTGATTGAAAATAATGCGTGATACAGCAAATAATGCTTGTATGTTTATTGTTAATGCTGCACCAAGCAATATTCCAGCTAAATGGCGGCGCTCTGTAACTAATCGAGTCTGGACCAGACAATCCAGTGACCAATCTCATGAGCATCGACATATGCAACTGGTATATCAGGTTGTGAAATGGATAGCAATCAGCCTAAATTAGGCATCAAAATCTGAAGACATTTTCATGCCTCATTTGCACTGGCCTCCAAAGCTCCCAAAGTGTGGTGGTGGTGGTGGAATTGGGTTTAACGTCGTGCTTGATAATATTTCGCTCATATGACGACGTGCATGCGTGCGTATGTGCGGCTGCTTGTACTAGCCCAGACTGAAGCTGGTTTTATAGTCCTAGCCCACTGTGATACCATGCCGCAGTGAAGCATGAATACCCCACTCAGACACATTATACTGACTCCGAGACGACCAGTCCTTGATGTACCCATTAATGCCGTGCGCCAGGCAAGGACCAACAAGTACCATATTTTAACGTCTTTTGGTATGACGCAGTCGGGGATCGAACCCGCGACCTTCCGCACTCCGGGCGGACGCTCTAACCACTACACCACGGAGGCTGTCTCCCAAAGTGTAGGTAAACATGGGAGTATAGTGCGAGGGCCACCAAATGTATATACAATGAAGTTCTTGGAACGAACAGCAGGGCAAGTGCTGGTATATAAGACAGTCACGATGCAATTCAGTTTCCTATTTTCTTAGAAAGTACAGCTTGTTCAGCTTGACCTGAGCTACTCTACATATGCATGACCCGGGAGGTCAAATGGCACAAACGGCAGGTCAAGATTAACTTCATTAAATAAGGGAGCAAAGAATGTTATTAATGTTGCTGCTCGCTGCCTAAAAGCTCGAATCGGAAACAATAAACCATCTGAAGCTTATTTTTTAAAGAAAGTTAGGACATTGCTGACGATTTCTCGACACTGAGGTGTCAAACGGCGACCTTGTCTCGACTGTTCGGACATGTTGACAATCGATGCACCCCTTCACAATAATAGACCCAACCAGTGCACGGTCACACAATGCATTAGTATTCACTTGATGAGGTCAAGCTGAACGAGCTGTAGTAGAGATTTCTTTTGTCATTTGTCACTATCCCTGTCACTCTCGTCACATTTAATTCAAATCTACAATGACTTACATATATG